CATTTATTCTTCTGTCTTCCTTTTTATTATCTAAATTTCACATGTAAATGAAAAACATTTTTTAAAAAAGGAACTCTGGTGGTCTGGCCCATAGGGAATTGCCCTGGTAACCCAAAGGTGGGGCTTCTCTTATAATTTGAATTTACCAGCTGTTCTACCGGAGGATGAGCAGTCTTCTCCTGTACAGATAAAGCAATTGATAAAATACCACTGCTTTGGTCAGATAACACCTTACTTAATCAGTAAAGTGACATCTTTATAAAACTTTTGTAGCAGATTGGCCCAGTACAGTTTGTCATTTGATTTCTTGACTGCTGCTTCCATGAACATTGTTCATCCAAGTACAATGAAATTATTGGCAATTTCCATTTATTCTCCTGTTTTTTTAAATTTATCATTGCACATTTTCTTCCCTGCTCCTCGCTCCTTGTTCCAGACTGTTGTCATACAGATGATGCCTATTCATATATTCTTTTCAGATAGTTCTTCCCTTCATCTGTTCTTTTGCAGTGTTCATTGTCATCTTTTCACTCTTTTCCAATTCTCTCCCCAAACTCCCCATGTCTGTCCTCCATTACAACAGCAGCATTATACAGTATTTGTCCTTTTGTGACTGAGATATTTCACTCAACATAGTGTCCTCCAGGCCCACCCATGTTGTATAATGTTCTCCAAGTTCACTGCTTTTTAATACTGTGTAGTAGTCCATTGTATGAATGTACCATAGATTTTCCATCCATTCATTTATTGATGGGCACATGGATTGCTTCCATCTCTTTGCTATTGTGAATCTCCATTTATTTTGATGAGTACAATTGTAAGGATTTTAATTTCTTCTTGATCAGTTGTAATCTATACTGAAGGCCTTTAGTCTTTGATATTTATCAATAAGTGCTTCAAGTCATCTTCACTTATGGCAATCAAGTTGTATCATGTGCATATCACATTCTTCTTCATATAGCATTCTAGATTATCTGTTCAGCACACATATTGACTCATTATGGTGAAACGGCACTGCCTGCCAAATGCCTTTTCCAATTTTGGACCATGTAGCATTCTCCATCTGTGGCGTTGGAGAGTATTGAGTACACCACAGATTGCTAGGAGAACAAACAGGTTCGTCCTGGGGAGGGTAAAACCGGGCTGCTCCTTGGAGTCAAGGATTCTGAGGCTTCGTCTGACATACTTTGGGCATGTTGCAAGAAGGGACCAGTCCTTGGAGAGGGACGTCATGCTTGGGAGGGTGGAGGAACAGTGCAGGAGAGGAAGACCCTGGATGAGATTGATTGACTCAGTGGCTGGGGTAATGGGAATAGGTGTGTAGGAAACAGTGAGGTTGGCACAGGATGGATCAGGATTTACGGCTGTTGTACATAGGGTCACTATGAGTCGCACACGACTCAATGGCACGTAACAACAAGTATCCCCATGGCCTGTTTAATCCATGTATAGTTTTCACACGTGTACAATTAAGTATTCTGAAATTGATTCTTCAAACATTATTCATAATGTTTTCTACAGAGTTAAATGCCTTTGCAGAGTTGATAAAAAGTAAAAAAAAAAAATCCTCACAGTGTTCTCTGCATATGAATACTTTACAATCATTCAAGAGGTTGAGGAATTCTAGGAAAGATGACAGACTAGAGAACTGTATTCCAAAGATATAAAACCACCTCACTGAAGGGGATCAGATGAAAAGATTTTGACCTAATTACTTTAGAAATGGGTAGAGTCTGAGCCAGTAAAAGCAAAATGAACTGCACATAAGCACTACACCCTAGTTCATAAAGTTGTTTCTCTTGGTTAACAGTCAAGACACTTTCGTTTTGATCTGCTGTATATAAGGTTACCATGCGTTGGAGTTGACTCAAGGGCACCTAACAGCATCATATCCTACTTATATGCTGGAATAAACCAGTTGGGTAAATGGATGACAGATAGTGGGAACCAGGTCTCATAGTTAGAGAGTTTATAAATAAACCAGGGCAGGAGCCTAGTGTGATTCATATAGCAGTGGATTATAGTTAAAGCCATCAGAATGAACTCATGTCTAACTTAATATTGATGCAGATGTTTATAGAAAACTGTATCGACACAGGTTACATGTATATGTTTTTTATCAGTCAACTAAAAGAGCGTAGAAGAAATGATTCCCCAGTAACATCAACAAGTCTCATATCTAAATCTTGGTTTCTAATACTGCTCTCCAATGAAAGGAACCAGCATTCCTTGGAAAAATGGTTATTTCAAGAACTGGGGCAAGAAATGTGCAAGATTATCCTGGAGCATCTTGTAACATCAGAAAGTTAGAAAGTACTCAAAACAACCAAAAAACATGGATGGGGGTATATCCAGGTAGCATAGGAGCCAACAAAACTGCAAATGTCCAAAGGTGGAATGATTTATGCCAAAACCAAAATTGGTTTATGATTTGACAGGTAAGAAGCTCGGATGGCATAGTCCTTAGCATGTTATGCTGTTAGCCAAAAAGCTGCATATCTCTGGTGGTTTACATTCACCAATGGTTTCCCCATAGGAAGATGGACTGTCTCCCATTAAGGTTTATAGCCTCAGAAACCCAATGGAGCATTGCTATGAGTTGCAACTGACTCAGTGGCAGTTAGTGTAACCCAACGTATAAAAGAAATACCCATGAGTCCATATGTTATTCTTGTTTTGTCAGGTGCCATGGAGTCAACTGTAGCTCATCACATCTGAACTTTGCCTTGTCTTGTGCCATCCTCATGATCTCTGTCCTCAAGCCCATTGTGGTAGTCATTCTGTTAGTCCATCTTTCTGAGGTTCTCTTCTCTTTTGTTTACCCTCTACCTTTCCCAGCATGATGGCTCTTTCCAAAAACTGGTTCTTCCTGAAAATATTCCCAAAGTAAGTGAGATGAAATTTCACTTTGCCTCTAAAGATTACCCTGGTTGCTCTTCCTCCAAGACAGATTTGAGTCCATACGGATATAGATAAGTGACTGAATAAATAAATAGGTAGGGAGAGACATATCTCCCTTACCGGAGAATTCTAAATAACATGTTGATATTCTACCCTCAAGGAGAGAGGAGAATTGGCTCCCCACTCTTTAGGTATAGGCTACTCATAGGAACTTCTCACTAAAGATTACAACACAGAAAGGGGGAGAAAGGTAATAACTTTCTCGTAGAGAAAGCTTCCACTCCCTCATTTGAATGACTAAGACCAACATCAGTAGTTATAAATCATATTGATATTCAATACACTTGATAGGATGTAATGACAATGGCAGTTTACCTCCAAGTCTTCATTCCAATATCTTGTATCCCTGTTCTAACCACTAAAAAAAAAAATCACTCAACAAATTTCAGTAAGTGACCAGAACACATGAGCAGTACTTTGCAAAATAATGGCAAGGTCATCAAAAAGCCAAGAAAGTCAGATACAGAAACAGCCAAGAGGATCCTAAACAGACGTGACAATTAAATATAATGTGGTATCCTGAATGAGATGCAGGAACAGAAAAAAAAGATGCGGTGGGGATCTGGAAAACCAGGGTAATGGTGGGCATAGTTCGATGGTGATTAATAAAACATAATGGGAATTATTGTATGAAACACAATGTGAATAAAGGATAGTGTAAAGGGGAAAAAAACTTTAGAGAAAAGCTAAGAGAAAAATAAACTGGACTGAATAAGAAAGTACAAATATTGATTTATTCATTGTAATAAGTATATCATGTTGTTGTTATGCACTGAGTCAGAACTGACCCTCTAGTAGGTTTTCAGAGGCAGTAAATTGCAAAAGAGGAGACAGTTCGTCTGGAGCAGCTCATGAATTTGAATCCACATGCTTTTGGGATTGCAGCACAACTTCTTATCACTAGGCCACCAGAGCCCTAAGTGTTTCATACTATTATATTATTAACAGGGAAACTGTATACATAGTATATGAAAACTGTATTGTCTCTGAATTTTTCTGTGACTCTGAAATGTCTACAAATTAAAGTCTATTTTAGCAGGGATAAAAGAAATTAGTTGCAAATAATGCTATGTACAGCATAGAAATATTCAGAAGAACTTCATCCTCTGATCACTTAAAGTTTCTGTTCTTTTTTACAAAAATATTTTTCTTGATTTTGAGTCTAGTGCGCCTTTGAGTTTGTATATATGTGCCAAAGATGATATACGTGTGCATGTATGTATATCTGCATACCAAATATGTATATGCATTTATGTTTAGAAATAGAGATATATCTAAAACTGACAGCTGCCTCAATCAGAAGTCTTCATAATTTCTTTTTTTTAATGTTCCTATCAAAGGAAACTGCCTTAATATGGACCTTGCCTAATTTGTGAGAAACTTGAAGACTGTTTTCATATATTCCTTAGTGTGCTTATTTAAGTTAGTAATGCTTTCTTGATTATATGAGACCTAAGATTATAAATCATCTAATATGGTTTAAATGAATCACAAGTCAGTTATTCTATGCCCTTTAAGATGAAAATTATACTTAAATCCTAAAAATGAAGATATCTAGATTTTAAATACTGTAAGACAAAGATTCTACTATTTGTTAGTGGTTTTGTTCATAGACCTTAATAGTTAAGTCACTCAAGTGTTCTCTCTTTCTTAACTCCTTGCTCTTGCTGGTCCTACCTGAATGTTTTCCAAATTCCTTTAAGCTATAAAGTGTGTAACTCATGGTAGCTAATACATAAAGCCTTTTCTTTTTCTCTTGAATATTTTTTAAAAATCTCATTTCTAATCTCTAATAATAGAGATAATATCTTTTTCTGTTGGTATTTTTCTGAAGTATGGGGATTTGGTGATCCCCATCCCTCATGGTCTTTATCTAATAAATAAACCTCATTGTTTTAAAGCTGTTTCTGGAAGGAGTGCAGTTAAGTGCAGTGTTTAATCTTCCATCTTTCTTTGAAATTTTTTAAAATTTAACTATAATGAAAGAGTTGCCTTATCTTCCTAATATGGTATCTCTGTTGTCATTGGTTTGTTATTAGGTGTTATATCTGAAGAACCTTAGCCCTCGGGTGACTGAGAGGGATCTTATCTCCTTGTTTGCCCGATTCCAGGAGAAAAAAGGACCTCTGATCCAATTTCGAATAATGACTGGACGCATGAGAGGCCAGGCTTTCATCAGCTTCCCCAGTAAGTAGCTTCATCTAAATAAAACTACCCGGTTTTTAGTTCACTAAACTAGCCATACCATAAGAGACTGGCAGCAACATGAGGTGTTCAGAAGCACAGAAATCCTGACGGCTTGAGATTTAAGCCATCATATCAAGGGTTGCTTAAGAGGAAAAAGGTGTTGAATGGTATAGGCTGAAGTAGAAAAGGATGCTGGTGGAGTAGGGAAAGAGATGGGTCAGAATACACAAGGCAACGGTGGGTAGCAACATTGAATCTATCTATCATTTTTCTTACTGGGTAAATGTCTTTCATCTTTCTCCTCTTTTCTGTAAAATGCTTGTTTGTCAGATACTATTATAAAAAAAAATATGACAGACTACAAAGAAGGATTGGCCGTCCACTTCCAAAAATAACAGGCCTTCGAAAACCCTATGTACAATAGAGCACACTTAGACTAGTAGATATGGTAATTGATGCTGAGATTTCAGATATGGAAACACAAAGGAGGAACATCTGTAAGCAGACACTATTGATTGGAATGTGGAATGTGAGAAGCATGAATGTAGGAAAATTGGAC